GAAAATTGACATTGAATCTTATTTTAATGCAAAGTCAATCGAGTCAATCGAACGACGACTTGCAATATTCGAACGGACCAGACGACAAAGGTGATTGAAGCTAATTTCTGTAAATAATTTGCAAACAGATGTTCTAAGAATTGTGAATAAGACTTATGCTAATCTAAAAACCGCAATTCAGAGGTACGAACTTAATCTCAAATAGAATAGAATTGAAAAGATAAAAAACACAAAAGAAAGTTCACACGTTACAGTGTCTCATAGTCCCAACTTGAAAGTCAGGTGGAGGATTTCCCAACAAGTTCGCATTTGAAGTGCAGACAAGTTAAAATTTGAAGTATTTTTTTTTTTTTTTTTAATAATTGAAAATTAGTTGCGATATCAAAGACCTCGTAGCGCCATAAGGAAACTTCATTGCGAATCGTAATAAAAATTAGATGAATTTTCCGTGACTATAATCTAGAAGTTGGGATAATCCCTAACATTGCAAGAATAATTGGGATACACATTGGGGACTTTAATGTATTTAATTTACCTTAGTTCGAAAGTTCAAGGTTGAAAATAGATAAAAGAAGAATTCTTAAGCATTATTGCTGACGTACTCGGGTTTGATAACAAGCACTAGACAATTCGGTTGGAAGAAGGGTTGATCTTAACTGGAAGCTAATCACAACTGGGAAGAAAGTTTTCCGATTGCTAAGACGTTATTGGATTTCAAAGATTCGTCTTAAAGACGCTTCTAATTTTCTAACTTGTGTTCATAACATAAAAATTGTCTCGATTTTCTGAAAGTTAACATGGCTCAGGGATATGTTGCTACAATAAGGAATCATATTTTTTCGCTCGATGTCTCCGAATGGGCGGATAGACGGGTAGATTTCTAATTTCCATTTTCAATAAGCGCAGGTGCAAAAAATGGCATTTATCGTTGATTTATTTATCTATATAGAGACAATAAGAGAGAATAGTTATTATTAAGAAACTTATTGCGTTAATTAAAGTCAGTTATAAAAGGGCATTTATTCTTGCTTTTACGTTATACGAAAAGTACAAAATTGTTAAAAGCGAGAGGTGGGCATGGGGGAGAAAAAACGAACGGTTGTAGCGAGAGTGCAAGGCCAAGAGTGAGCTAGAGCGAGCTAGAAAAAGAAAGAGAGAGAGAGAGAGAGAGAGAGAGAGAGAGAGAGAGAGAGAGAGAAAGAGAAAGAGAGAAAGAAAGGAAAATCAACGTTAATGGGTTCATGTGGTCGATGGTATACCTGTAGTTACTGGATTGTAATCAGATGGTAAAATATGTGTTAATGCTACCGTATAACAGTTGACTAACTGGACTCTGGTAGATATTTATAAGCATGTAGGCCATCGGGTATGCTCGCTCGTTTTGGTATGCTATGCGTATGGTTTATTATCCCTTTTATTAGTACATGCAAGAAGAATGGAGATTTACAGGACGACAGCGTAGTATAGGCCACACTTTGCGTGCAATCATCTCGTTATATATATATATATATGTATATGCAGTATATTCCTTCAGGAAGTGCAGTTTGATGTTAACACTTTTGTAGATGAATTTTTGTTACTTGTCTGTCTTCTGATTGCTTCCCTGGTAAAGTTTCCTTTTTGCGTTTTTTTCTTTCTTGTTCTCTACATGTTTGGTAATGGTTTCAAGTTACAGTTGAATGAATGACTGAATAACGATGGAATAACTAAGTGAATGAATGGACGGTGAACAAACGAATAAATTGTGTGATGTCAAAGTTTAAATTAAAGTTTTTTTTTTTTTTTTTTTTTTTTTAAATTGTGTTCGTTTACGTATGTGTGTTTGTGTGATTGCTTTCTTTCTCTTTTTTTTTTTTTTTGTTTCTCATTTCATGACCTAAGGTAATAAATTTGATATTGAGTTGAAGCGAAAAAAAAAAAGAGAAAAAAAAAACAACTTAGAGAATAAAGGTGAACGAATAAATGCATGCATGAATCCAATAAGCCCTTCTCCACCGGTTAGTAAGCGTGTTTAAAATTATGTCATGTTTTTTATTTTGAAATTAATTATATAGTTATTTTTTGTTGTCTCCATAAATTATATAAAATTTAAACACTTTTCACAATTTGTTAATTATTTTTAAAAAATACGAACAAGAAAAAAAAAACATCCGATAGGAAAGCTATAACGCTTGCTTGTTTTGCGTCGAATCTTGTACACCTATCATTGCAAGCACTAATGTAGAAATTGCACGACTCGATTAATTGCATATGTACTCGTAAGTCAAATCGAAATTTTTTCAATCGGTAAATATGTTCTACTATCTGCAGTGGTGTGCTAACTTCGATCACACGACTTGACTGCCGTAAAGGATAAAGTTTGCGTTGGATGACTTTTTGGTTTCGTTTTGATTTCGGCCATAGGGTAGGGCCGGATGTAGAGTAACCCGAACCAAAACATCAGAAAGTTTCGACGGTCCGTCTGTCTCCGTAAGGGTTTCCGTGCGTGTATGTCTTGAGCGCAATCGTCTATTGAGTGTTATGTTTGGCAGGATATGAAACCACCCCATTACGGCCGACAATGACACGTGCGTTTATCAATTGCGCCATCCGACCTTTTTGACGAAAGACCTAAGGAGTTTTATTTTTTTATTACTTCCGTTAGACGAGGGGATGATATTTAGACGACCACTCGTGGGGACCGACACATGCGAATCCATGCTCTGATTGCTGGTTTAAATTTTGCAAGTAAATGTGTTTGGCGGCACATTACAATGCATCAACTTTGAAAATCTCTGAAATGCCTCTTGCCTCGCCTTCATATTATGGTCGTGCTAGTGAGCGCGTTGTTCCTTCGAGTTTAACCAGTTAGAAAAAATCAACGAATAGTATTTTTCTTTCTCATGAACGCGTTCACGACATCGGACCTCGCTTTCGGATATATCCCGATAATTAAAAAAAACCTCACTCTTACTAGCTTTCCATGCAAATCGCATTTTTTGCGACACCCATGTAATTCATGTTTTTTCGTGTATTACGAACCGCATTTTACATAAGAGTCTCATTAACAGTTTGGTGGAAATTGCTACATTTCTACCATCTAAAACCAATGTCCACCAAATATGTCCCGAAGATATATGATTGTGTAAACGCTAAATGGGTTTAGGCAGCTGTTTGCTTACTATAGTCGATTTAGTTCTTTCGTTTTGTACATGTATTTTCGTAGACATTGAATATCCTGAGATGTGTCACATAAATAATTTGATTTCAATTTTTGTGACTTGCAAAACTTATCCATCACAGCAAGGCGACTTGTCCTTGGGTAAATTCTTTTATTCATTCCGCGAGTTCAATTACTAGTCGTGTCCATTGCAAATTTTTAAGTGATTTCAAATGTCCCAGCACCTCGAAGAGCGCCTCTTGGTGAAACGCTATTAGTGCGACTTTCGATTTGATCACAGCAATGCAACTAAGCATTTCTATACTCGTATGCATTTGTATATGAGACGATTTGAAACTTTTTGCCTCATTTTTCGACCCTCTGAGAATACATGTGATGAAGCAGGGTTAGCTATAGCTATTTTATCGGGGTTTTGCACGATTCTTTTGATTTTTGATGTTCGATTTTCGTTACATATGCGAGAACAGAAGTATAGATGAGTGTAGCAAATTTCTTTCAAACGGATCACATATCACATTTTTGCACGCACTTTATATTACACTTAGTCATGTGGGTGTGCGTATATATCTCCGTTACTCTATTTGTTATTATTGTTGTGCGTTTAAATGTAATATTTGTTGTAAATTTTACCGGTTTTTACATTTTTTTCTTTCCTTCAGCTTTTTTTTTTTTTGCTCATTTTCTGTTTTTATTATGAAAAAAAGTTTTTTTAATTTTTTTATTTTTATTTTTTTTTTTTTTTAAATTCGTTGTATCGCTTGCACTCGATAAACTTTTTATAAACATTTAAACACCTGGACCTACAACAACATTGAGAGAGAAACTGTTGATTATAATTGCATGCAATTGCCTTTGTTTTTGGTTTTTTTTTTCTTTCTTTTTTGCTTTTCCTGCCGTTGCAGTTGTCGTTAAATTTAAATATGTATTAATTTATACTTACGCGGGTAATTAAAAACATAAACATTACATTTACGGTGTATGGATGTACGTGCACATGTATAAAGGTGTATGTGTATTCATTCTCTTGTTTATAGAGATAGGCAGAGACAGTTTTGTAAACTTGTAATAGGAGTATATTTGTGATTAAATTTCAATGAAAATATTTTATTCAAAGTTTATTTATCATTATTAATTGAATAGATAGATAGAGAGTTTTGTTAAAAAATTTTACAACAAAAAAAAAAAAAAAAATGCTATTGCAAAAGTTGATATATATATATATATATATAGAGAGAGAGAGAGGTGGATGTAAATGTTTTTCTCTGCTTTTGCAGCTAACGAACCAGCCGTTTTGCTGTAGTCGACCAATCAAGTATATATATATATATATATATATATATATATAAAAATATTGCTTTTTCAAGAAATACAATCCACTTTTATAGCAAAGTATTGCAAGCCACTTTACTTTTCACAAATGTAAAGAGGACGTACCTACTTCACCGTCCAGCTGAGAAAGCTGCTAAACAATGGATGCAATATATATACAAAAAATATACAATTTTTTCATGTTCATGTCCCTTCGCGCTTTGTGTTAATATTCCTGAGAGGTTTTGTTTCTTGTTTTTTTTTTTTTTTTTTTTGCTTTTGAACGTTTACGACATTCAGAATGAGAATGCGATGTGATTAAATGAAAAATATTGGAGCAATTGTAACATGTTTACGCTCGGAATACTATATTTTCAAATTATAATATATTTGTCATATAACGGTTTCTATCCTGGGCAAGGAGAGCGCATGTTGCGAAAATCCAAGAGTTTCATCCAAATTTTAGGTACTTGTGCGGTTTGTGTGATTATGAAAGGAAAATAAGTCAATTAGCAATGTAACTCATACATACCCTCAGGCCAATTATCGAATACTGTTTGTGCTATATCACCGGCTGAGTCTGTTGGATTGAATAGGAATTCTTTTGTTTTGCCACTAACGAGTATTAAACGTAAATTTATCTGAAAATAGAAAAGAACAATAACAATACAATAACAATTAAAATGGAAAGAGAAACGAAAAACATTTAAGTAATTTAATAGGAGTTTTTATTACAATTCCACCGTAACAGATAACCCCATGAAGGGGTGGTTTCCAATTCGCTGCAAATCATATCGAGAAACACGTCTTTATTAATTATCATAATCAATTTAAAAAATGTCATCGCAATAACCTTTAATACATGCAATGGTTTAATAAATTCTCGTTTATATGTATCGCTCTATCTTGGGAGATAGATCTGCTTTATGCCATTTTCAAATGTGTATATGTATTGCACTTTTACAAATACATAAAAAAGTATTCAATTAAATATTACGGTACATAGCGGCGAATTAAAAGTATGTGAAGTGGAGTTTTCTCACGACACCTTTCATCTTTCAAATGAATGTATGAGTTTTCTTACACCAAATGTCCGCCACTTTGTAAAAACCATTATGAGAGCCATTCATGTAAAGCTTTGCGATTTCTCAACGAGAAAATTTGAAAGAAGTGATTATCGCAAGTCCCTAGTGAAATCAGTCTTACATCACGTTCAGAAAGATCTGCAAAAAGTGAAATAAACGTCAGTCGAATGTGGAAACGTTGGCGCTATACGATGGACGCATCAAATCTTTCCTGCCAAACTCTCTCCGGAAAAATGTTTGACAAGATCTGCCGAGCCGGGCCGGGAACGAGTAAACCATTTAAGAAACAGAAACAACCCAAATTTATTGGTAGGACCAACCGAGACGAAGTGATACTCTAAAATGGAATTACTTTTGAATGAATTACCAATTATCACAACCTTTTATACCCATCACGGAAGGATGGAAGGAATATATTGATTTCATCAAGACATTTGCAGCATCCAGAAAGTGGCTTTAGAGACTGCTTAATGTGTATGTATTTTTGCTCAGCATAAAATTCTGATTCTATATAAGCATGTCCGTCTATCCGCGTGTATAATGTCTGTTATAAGAATTTTCCTGGCCAAAAAAATGAAGCTATCACCTTTAAATTTGGCGGAAAGGTCGAAGGGCCTACCATGTACCAGAAGTGGTGTAAGTAGTGGTGTATAAAAGGCATTTACTAGCTAAGGATAGGTGCAAATTTAAGCAGTGCACATTTGATATGTGTACGAGTTAATCCTGCCGTTTAAATGTTCGTTTAGACTGCCTTATATTGTCAATTAAAGCGATCTAATGAACCGTCTTTGCCACTCTTAGTTATGTACAATTCATCGAATCTTGGCAGAGTATTGCATGCGCAAGGACAAAACTAATCTACCTTTTTTTTACGTTGTCGAGAGCAAAGAAAAACCAGACTTTCTTCATTTATTTCAATAAACGTTAATGAGTTCATGACGCATACGATTTTAAGTTGCATTATAATTAAACTATTTGAAATCGCATTTGCAAGTACACACTTCCACACAGCAATCCGAGCTAACGTACATTCATCCATTATGCTTAAAGGTAGAAGACAATGATGTCAGGTGTTAGTCATTTTACCTTTCGTTTATTCCTTGTTTTTTTTTTTTTTTTTT